CAGGACTTTGATATGGCTCCTTCCACTTGCCCTCCCCTCAACTTTGGTCTTCCCCCCTATTAACTGAGTCCCAGCTGCCATCATCTCTTGCGTGGCCCATTGCAGTAGGCAAACTAGGCTCCCTGCTGGGACCCTTGGCTCCCTGTACTGTTCTGAACACATATCCAGAAGGACCCCTTCAGACTCTCGGTCAGATCACGGCAGTCCTCCATTTAAAACCTCCAGCGCTCTCCAGAGCAAGAAGTCCCAGGTCCGTGTTCCTATTCTACAAAGCCCTGCAGACGCAGCTCCTGTGTTCCCTGACCTCACCTCCTATGACTGTCTGCTCCAGCCCCGCGGGCTTCCTTGCCATGCGTGGCACAGGCCACCGCACTCCTGCTCAGGGACGACACCCGTAACGCTTCTGCCGTTCCCATCTAGACTCTCTCCTCAGTTCACGCAGATGCTAATCTTTCAGAGAACCCTTCTCGACTGTCCTAAAATCGCATGCTCCAACTCCCTACAGCCTTAACCTCAGTTGTTCTTCACTGGTCACCACCTGAGGTACATTTTTACCCCTTTGTGTGCACTATTGGTCTTCGCCCTTCAAAGAAGCTCCAGAACGCAAGTGTGTGCTTTGTCCTATACTGTGTCCCTAGGGGTGCAGCAGTGCCCAGCTCCTAGCAGGTGATGAGTAAGTATTTGAAAGCATTCTGCCTCTGAAATGTTCATCAACTGTCTAGAAGAAACACCTAGAAGACAGTCCTTTCTGCTCAGTATCTCTCTGAGTTTAGGGACCAGCATACTTCACCGGGTGGACTTCTGATCGGAGACCTGTTCTGGGCTAGGTTTAGTGGTAGACACAGAGGAAGAACAAAGACCCATTAAGAATAGTGGAACAAGTCGGTAAAGATTCCTTCAATATTCATTTATAATTAATTTCTATTTTGATGTTCACTTTGCTTTTTCAACTATGCAAAAAAAAAAAATAGGGCTCTGTCTTATGAATTTGAGGTAATATTTATTTTGAAACAGGCTTGAGTTCCTCCGTTTTAAAATCTTGAGTCAAAAGTGGCAGTGTCGTTGTTGTGTTTTGTGTTAACGCGAACAGTGGGACAACATGAAAGGGACCCCTGAACCAGACCGTCCCATGAGGTTGCTGCTTATTCTGAGTGAGAGACAGAGGGAAGCATATGACCAGTGGGGGTCTAGGTTGTACCCTCCAGCCAGTGCATCCGCCCCCGGATTCGGTTCTGCCCGAGCACTCAACGGTCCCATTCATCTTGGTACTGCAGCTTTATTCAGTATTCGGGACCACAGCTGCGTGACGGATTCCCCAGGGCACGCTCACATCAGTCTTCTCCACTGTGCAAGAAGGTGAAACCCCAACCTCCCTTTCTCTTTTCAAACACTGTGTCTCTGGTGACGCCAGATTCCTGCTCCCTGTGTGCATAGCAGAAAGTGGCATCTCATCACAGACAAAGGCCACCGGAGCTGATCACGCTGCCGTGTATTAATAGTCCTGTGAAAGCCATGGCAAAAGTTCAGTCACAAGAGGGGCTAAACATTTGCCTGCTATGGATCCGTGGCTGTGTGGCTGCTATATTGGGACCTAATCCCCTGGGGAAACACTATCTTCGCAGACAGCCAGGGTTTTCAGAGCGGCCTCAAAGGGTCCGGCCCCTGTGCCGCTCTCCTGCTCCCATAAGAGCCACAGTCTGTGCAGCGATCCCCTTGCTTAGGGCCGGTGCAGGGGAGGGTGCAGGGGAGGGTGCAGGAGCCCTGGCCTGGAGTCAGGCACCAGCGCTGCCCCTCTGTGCAGCCCGGCCGGTCACTCGGTCCCCCCGGCACAGCTGCCGCTGCCGGAGACCGGCACTCGATGCTGGTCTGCCACTGTCCCTGCAGTTCTCTGGTGGCCCCGGGGTGGTGTGTTTCCTAGTCCCCCAGCTCTTGGCACACGGAGATCTAGATCGTCTTACGGAACACGCCATTCCCCTGGAACACCAGCGCTCCCTGCGACTCTCCTGGGGGTCAAGGGCTGGGCGCCAGGGAAGGAGCAACTGCTCCCTTAGAGGTCAGTGCTGGGGAGAAGCCGGACTCAGACACCAGGAATCCTATTTACATTTCAACAGCGGAGGCCAGAATCAGGGAGAAATATGAACAGCTTTGGGCTGCAGTCCCAAAAAAGCAAAAAAAAAAAAAAAAAAAGCAAAAAAAAGAGCCATTTGTTTGGAATAGAACTTGCAACTCTGTGACTTTCTTTATCTCTTCATTTATTTACATTCCTTTAATAGTTAAAAAAAAATCTATTGTGGAATTTTTTCTTTTTTAGAGGAGAAGGAAACAAAAAATTTTTCATATTTATTTTGATACGAAAAAACATTAGAAAGGCCATAAACTTTTCTCATGAAGATCGCATATAGTTAGGAAAAAATACCAAGTGTACACATATTTCTACCATGAATCATCTCTGGTGTGTCCCATGCTTTCCTTTAAACAAGGAAACGCACTCAGCATCAACCTCACAGAAGGCCACTGATGCAACGTGACCATTATTTCTGGTAGGTCTCTGGCATGCAGTATCTTGTGCCCCGGTTCGGGCTCCGCCGTCTGTAGCGAACCCCAGCACCTGGAAGGAGAGCAGTCAGGTGCCGTCTCCCCGCTGGGAAAGCTGGAACAGGAGCCTCAGAGTAACCACGTCCTTACCAGGGTTCCCGCAGGTGATTTGTTTTAGAATAAGAGTGTATTTCAAATGCACTATTTTTCCCCGTGTGGGAAAATCAGGATGAACTGTAGTGCAGCTTCCCAGTGTGGCCTCGGGTATTTCGGCCTGGCGGGTAGCCCTGGGACGGGCTGAGTCCTGCCTTTATTTTCAGGAGAAACGGAGGTTGGTCTCTGTAGGAGACGTCACTCTCATGTGCCTGGGCTGGAGAAGGGTCCTAGGGTTGCCGCCTGCTGTGGTGGCAGCTCCAGCCAGAGACCTGGGTGAAGGCAGGAAGGATAGTTCTCAGCCAGCAATGCTCTTGGGACATCTTGCTCAGCCTCTGCCCGCTGGGCCACACCTCTGCTGGGGACGCTAATCTATAAGGAGCACACATCCCTGGGAACACAAGGCTGTGGGAAAAGCACGCTTATCAGCCTCCTTCCCATGAGCTAAGTCCTGGTAGATGCAAGGAGCGGTGAGCCTTGGGGTGGGGGGATAGTTCCTCCAGGGGCCGTAACCACAGATATCTGTCCTGCCTTTGAGGAGCGTGGGACTTCTGCACTCAGGTTTGAGACGTGCAGGTTTGGGGGCAGAGTTGAATTTCTCAGGATTGTAGAAAAGTCGAAGCTGAATTCTACCACTAAGGATTAAAATGGGAAAAGCCAGGCAAGGATTGGCTTGCGATCCCTACTCAAGAAAACTCGTCACTTGACAGAAGGTAGATCTTTCAAGTCACCTCATCCAACGATGCACAGCCAGCCCAGCTGTGGAGGGGGAAGAGGGGGGGGAGAAATTCTGGGGGTTCTCATCTGGAATCGCTTCCCTTCACTGTCCTTGGTCTTTCTCGGCTACGCATGGAGCAGCAGGCGCTTATTTTAGGCTTCTGTTAACTGCTGCGCCAAGCACCGCTGGTGGGCCAGCTCGGAGGGCAGTGTGACGCAGGTGGCGCCCGGCAGGGCCACGTGCATGGGTGATTCAGGCAGTGCACATGGCCTCCGCGCTCAGCCTCCTCCCCTGCTCAGGGGTCCAGCTGTGCTCTGTTGGTGCATCTGCACCATGACACACTGGGCTTAGAACAACTGCCGGTGACTGGCCCCATGTCACCGCAGAGAATATCTTTCTAATTCTCTGGGAGGTTAAAAAAGGCTGTCATGGGAAACACCTACGCTCAGGCCCCCAAACTCCACTAAAGTGCCCTGGGGGCTTCACAACACACTCAGGGTGTCATGGGCTGTTTTAAATTTTCAGGGAAAACAGTGATACTTGACATTTATCAGGCACAGTGTACAATGTTCACAGTCAGCTCAGGCTACTTCCTACAGAGCAGCGGTTCTCAACCTGTGGGTTGCGACCCTTTTGGGGTCGAATGACCCTTTCACAGGGGTCGCCTAAGACATAACAGTAGCAAAATTACAGTTATGAAGTAGCAACAAAGATAATTTTATGGTTGGGGGTCACCACAACACGAGGAACTGTATTAATGGGTCGCATATCTTACCGAAGCCGGGTGCTCTGTGGTCGCAGTGATAAGAGGCAGGTGGAAGAAGACACAAAGATGGTGCTGTCCAGTCGGATTCCAAGGCTCCAGAGGTTGCTTAGTGTCCGAGGGTACACACACCCCTTTGCTAAGTAATGTGGTTATTTAAGAATAATATACAGCTCTGGCCTGTTTGGCTTAGCAGTTAGAGTGTTGGCCCGCGGACTGAAGGGTCGCAGGTTGGATTCTGGTCAAGGGCATGTACCTAGGTTGCAGGTTTGATCCCCAGCCCCAGTCAGGCACCTGCATGAGGGATGTCTCTCTTACATCGATGTTTGTCTCTCTTACATCGATGTTTCTCTCCCTCCCTCCCTCCTTTCCTCCCTTCCACTCTCTCTAAAAACCAATGGAAAAATATCCAATCTTTGGGTGAGAATTAACAATAACAACAACAAAAAAGATTAAAATACAAACATTTTTCTTTTAATGTATGTGTATTGATTTTTAGTTACTAGGACAAACATTAAGTTGAACCTAATTATTGGACCTTCTAGCTGTTCGTTTTGTTCAGGGGCTGTCTGGAGTCAGAAAGAGCACAGTAAAGCACATGGTTTGGGGGGCCTCTACTTCAGAGTGATAACGATGGTTTGTATGTGTTTTGCATTAAAATGGGGTGAGTGTTTAAGACCCAACAACAGTCCCATTGCAGATTAAGTTTGAAATGAGCCAACGCTCTTCCTTCGCACGCTCCTCGTTCCCTTCACCTTGCGTCGCTCATGAACCGGCACGGTGGTCTTTCACACATGAACAGACGTGTTCTCTCTTCTTTTCTTCTTTCAGAGAGTGGGTTAATCGAGCCCCATCTATTCACTTTCTGAGAGTGTTAATCTGTCTGAGACTACTCATGAGGGATCCATGTTACCAGGTTGGTTGGAAAAAAAAAAAAGATATTTTTTACTTGTGATCAAGACGAAATAAGAAACTGGTGCATTTTTCTTTGAAGCAAACCATGTTAACTTTTTTTTTCTCTCTCACAACTCAATAGCTTCCAAATTTGGGGAGTATCTCATCTACTATTTAAAAGATAGGAGAAATGATTTAATGGGGGCAAAACAATCTGTGCATTTCTACTATACTACCTACGGGAGTAAGTGGATTACACGTCGGTCTATGTTTTCATTATTACCTGGCATTTTCAACCACAGGCAGTCCAGAGTGGTGTGCACTTGGCCTTCAAGCATGTCCAGGGCTAAGCAGCTCACTAGGTCGAGGTCAGCAGTGACCAGTAGGGGGCTCCTCAGAGGAAAGGCAGGGCCTGCAGCTTTAGCAGCTGCCCCGAGTCCGTGCGTTTCCGTGTCCAGCCCAAGCCCTGAGTTAGAGGTGAGGAAGGGCCTCCCGCCTGCCTCACTAGTCTGTAGGTTTGGTGCCTCTCAAAGTTGAATGTGCAGGGGAGTCACCTGGGGCCTTAGGAATGCAGATGCTGCTCAGTGGGTGTACATGAGGCCTGAGAGTCTGCATTTCTAACCAGCTCCCAGAGCGTGTCGGTACCACTGGTCCGTGGCCCACACTTTGAGTAGCAAGAGCTTAGTACTTTCGCAGTAAGTCTCTAAAGAAAAACTTACCTACCACTTCACCTGGACTCCAAAGTTACCCTTCCAGTCCCAGCGGGACTTAAACTTCCTGCGCATCAGAAACACGGGGAGGACTTAAAGACTGTGGGTGGGGTAGGGGGACCCCATAGTTTCTGGTTCTGTAGGTTTGGAGAGGGCCTGCTAATCTGCATTTCTAGCAAGGCCCCAGGTGATGCTGATGCTGCTAGTCAGGGGGCCACAGTTTGAGAACCACTGCCCCAAAGCCTCAAGACTGCTCACTAATCATTACTGTTTCTGCTTGCTGGTGTTAATCAAATACCTAAATCTTTATTACTCACACATGCTTCAGTAATTTTAACAGAGTATTATTTTTTTCCCTACAAAGTATCTCCTTTTATGCATTGTCCTGATAAATTATGAGGAAGCTCAGGCTATTCTGAAGGCCTTTTATTTTGAATTTGATTTTATTGATGAATTATTATCTGAGTCCAATGTGTTTCCTTTCATCACCCCAATAACCATCTTTCCCAAACTTGACACTTCAAAGAAAAAGTACTTTGGTACTAGTCAGCTGTAGCTTACTCCAGTTTGAGTCCCCGAGAATCATGAGGGCTCCACTTTTCCCTGAGCAGAATCACCCCCTTCCTTCTGTATCTTAGGCTGGCTCTGTGCTGTCACAGTTTAGCTAGGGGACTTAGGGCACACTCTGATGGCTTTCTGTCCTGGTTGCTCAGGGTTTTCTGGGAATTTTCCATTTCCCTCATGACCAGCCATACAGAACTGGATGTTCCGTGCGTTTACGAGCTACCATTAGCAACGTGGGGTGGGTCCTAGGTAATGAGGGTGGGCCGGCTGCCCCACTTTCCCCGGGTCAATCCCAGGGTGTGCTCATTGTTCCTACTTAATTATTAACAGCACCCTCTTTTACTCTCCAGCATGTTCCAATTTGGATGAGAACATTGCGTATATAATATTAATGAAAGTATTCATGGAGGAAGGTGGAGAGCTCGTGTTTTTTTTGTCTTACAGAAATTAGGAAAATATTTGCCTTAGAGATGTTCTTCTTGTTCCGAAAATTGAGGGCGGTGTGTCATGCTCTGCTGATCTCCTTTCTTAATCTAGTTCCTCATGGTTGGAAACAGGGTTGATTGTACTGTTCTCCACAGGAGAGAATTCAGTAATCTGTTTACGGGATTTCGTGAGCAAGACACACATTAAACTGTGTCCCTCCCTGATTTCGTCTTTCCATAGAAGGGGATGCTCTCTGCATCTCTCCTCCTGGCGCACCTTCCACAAAGAAGAGCATGTGCTCAGGCAGTTATTTAATATCCGAAGCTGCCAAGAATTGTTGGCCAAAGTCACAAAGCTAGCCTGGGGTTTACGGCAGTTTGTGCCCGAGAACCTCAGCCAGCCTTTGCCACAGCCCGGCATTCCTTCCCCGGGATCAGCCTCGCAGACCCACGCAGCTGTCCCGAGCCATCTGCACTTCTCACACCCAGACCGCCTCCGGCCCCTGTCATTCTCGTCAGGTGACATCTGTTTCACGGGGACATCCCGGTGGGCGCGCTCTTACTTCCTCCTCTGTGTGGCTGAAACATTTGGGTTATCACGCAGCTTTACTTCTCTCCTTGTTTCGAGGGCGGAATCCCGTCTGTGCCCGGGCTTACCCTTCCATCTGATCTCTCTCTCAGGGTGTCAGTGGCTCCCTCTCTGCTTCCCTTTGTCATTAAAAATACCCTTTTCTTGATCCATTATCCCTTCAAAACTTTGATCTTACCTTCATTGCTACATTCTTTGAAAGCTCAGGATACGAACGCATTTCCTTTGTGTGGACACTGAATTCTGTGTACACGGTTCTCTCTGGAAGCCATTCACAGAGTCCAAGTGTCCATGCTTCAGTCGTCATTCCCTGACCCAGAGGCTGCAAGCTGGCTGCTCGCCTGCCGAGCCTCGCCTGCGGTACACAGGCCTCAAGGTGTGCTTAGGAGACTCCTCGAGCAAGCGCCGGGTGGAAGGAAAGAGAAGCCACAGTGCTTAGACTTTCCCACTATGACAGGAAGACTGATGGTCTGAGATTTCAGGTGCAGTTGGAGTCCCAAGCAGCATATAAATAAATTCCCAACTGGATTCATTATAGTGAAACCATAGCATATTGCTCATCGGGGATAAAGAGAACATCTCTAAAGCTCCTCACTGCAATCGCATTGGCAGCAACAGGAGGACAGTTAGCCGAGTGGCGGGGTCTCGGCGCTCACGCTCCCCAGCCTCTGCCGCCGCACACGCCTCACCACCTTTTCTGTGTGCCTGCACCTACCCGAGAGCCTCCAGCTCTCCTGGCACGTTCTGTTTTCCTGTATCATTGACTCGCTCCTGTCTAAAAGCCTGCTTTTCTAAATGTCAACTTTCCCAAAGTCCTGCTCTTGATGATCATTTTCTTCCCCATCTTCCTGGCTCTCGGCTTCAGCCATCATTTTTGTTGCTGTTGCTGTTCTTTGCGCACAAACATAGGTCTGCATTCCAAACCCGCTCCCTTATTCAAGCCCACATTTCCAGGGACAGGCGGGCAGCCATCTCGGCGACAACAGCATACCGGTTCTCGAAGTGTGGGCTGGGAACTGCTTGCAGGTCTCTGAGTCCCTCTCAGGGCCTCCGTAGGACCAGCTGACCTTCACAGCGACGCTCAGTGTCATTGGCCCTTTGCTCTCACTCCTCCCAAGTGAGCAGCGGAATGTTCCAGGGCTTCAGGTTGTGTGATGATGCCGTGGACCCGATGGCTGAAGGAACGTGTGCCGTGCACTCTGGTGTTTTAAGAATTTCTCACTTGCACTTTCTAGTATGGTAAATAAATATATAACCCATATGAACAAAAGCTTTGGGCTTCTGAATAATGTTGAAGAGTGTGAAGGGGTACAGGGACCAAAGAGTTTGAGAACCGCGGTTGTAGCACATTATGCTCAGTAACTTTCCAATGGACCTCAGCAGTTCTTCCTCAAGCCTTTTAGAAGGGTGGTGACTATTACTCTTGGGAAGGTAAGCGAAGGCCAGGGCATGGAGGGGCCGGAGAATTGTGATGGAGGAACCAGCAGCGTGGAGCCACTGACAGGTTCTGCACAGAAAATGATCCCGTTAATGATTCAGTATCAAGGGCTCACGGCAGCGTGTTTAGCATTGACTTAGTCGCTGTGGAGGTGTAGGATGAGCACGCCTAGTGGCCATGACATGTTTGACTGTGGTAAAAATACTGGTGTGCCAACAACACCCATATTGGCGCGCAGTGTGCTCCATTTTTTTAAGACATATTTTTTATCTATCTTATATTGTATCAGTTTTTTAAAAAGGAAAAAAATCAGGGAATATACAGAACGAGGACATTTGTTCACATTTGGCACGTTAACCTGAAGGTCTGATTGACTGAAGGACCTTCTCAGGTCACCAGGCTCGGGACCTAAGCACAGAACCAGGCTCGTGACCCTCCGCCTGTGGCCAGGGAGAAAATCAGGCCCGAGAGGGCGGGAGGCATTGCTGTTCTCCAAGCACGCAGGCGTATTTGCTTTTCCGATCAGTAACAGGAACTGTTAAGCCCCGGTATGTGCGTAACTTGTGGGCTTGCTTTTCAGTTGATGCTCTCGGGTTAGAGCAATTCCATTGGTGTAAACAAAGGAAATACAAGGAAGTCCAAGGGTCTGTGGGAATCTCCTGGCCTTGCTCCAGTCTCCAGAGGAGCATGGGAGGGGGCCACGTACTTATTTCCTAAATGAAGGTACATTCTTGAGAACATAGTAACAAAATTCTTTGAGAGTGACAAAGCCTTTTTGCCCCATTTTTATAAAACTTAAAAAAATTTTTTTTCAGTTCTCACCCAAGGATTATTTTTTTATTGAGAGGGAGGGGGGAAGAAGGAGAGAAGGAGGAGGAGGAGGAGGAAGAGGTGGAGGAGGAGGAGGAGGAGGAGGAGGAGGAGGAGGAGGAGAAGGAGAAGGAGAAGGAGAAGGAGAAGGAGAAGGAGAAGGAGGGAAGAGAAGGGAGGGGAGGGCAGGAAGGAAGGAGAGGAAGGAGAGGAAGGAAGGAAGGAAGGAAGGAAGGAAGGAAGGAAGGAAGGAAGGAAGGGAGGAAGGGAAGGAAGGAAGATGTGAGAGAGAAATATCGATTGGTTGCCTCCTGTATGCACCCTGACCGGGGGTTGGACCCACAGACTGGGTATGTATCCTGACCAGGAATCAAACCTGCGACCTGTCGGTGCACGGGACAGCAATCCAACCAGCTGAGCCACCCGGTCAGGGACTCTTCTCTTCTTATACCCATAACAGCACATCTCAAACTCTGCTTCACAGGAGTTAAGGAGTGTCCTGTGGAAAGAACAGAGCTGCAGGGAGTGATGTTTAGGAAACCCTGCACTAGCCCTCCCGTGGGAGACAGAGCGAGGCAGCATGTTGGCGCTCGGAGGAGTCCTAGTAATAACGTACTGGGTTAAACTCTGTCTAACCCAGCACCTAGCATTTCCCAAGCTACTTTGAATTGGATCTTGAAACGTGTGTGTGTGTGTGTGTGTGTGTGTGTGTGTAGAATTTATAATACAACCCACTGTGCAGAATAGAATGATCACTCCCACGACATAGTTTGGGAAACACTGACTTAGTCCCATGTTGTTAACATTAATCACTGGATAGATATATTTCTCGTCGAGGTAAACATTTAAAAATGAACTTGTCCAAAGAACTTATATGCATACACGCACAACCAATGGACCCAGACATTAGGTTGGGGACAGCAGGAGGGGGGGGGGGAGAGGGGAGGAGGGGGGTCAGTGGGGGAACAAAAGAGGACATCTGTAATACTTTCAATAATAAAAAATGAAATGTAGTAAAGGAAAATAAATAAATAAATAAATAAATAAAAATGAACTCAACTGTGGCCACTTAAACATTATTCTTTGCCTTGATGTCCTCTCATTCCCAAGCTTCACATTTAAATCTCGTTCTTGTCAGCGACTCCCAAATTTCAGTCTTTTGCCCTCATCTCATTTTTCACGGCCTGTTGTACTTTTCCTCACCTGCGTATTCCAAATCGACCGTCTCCTCTGACCTGGTCTGTTCCTCTCCTTCCTGATGTTTGTTAGTCGTGTCCCTGTTCCCCAGTCACCAGCCTCAACTGTGTTGATGTCGTCGACTTATCCCTGTGCCTTGACTGCGTCTTCCTGTTCGGTGGGTCATTGCCTGTCCCTGGCTCTCCGCTGCCGCCCCCCCGCCCCCCGCCACTGCTGACCACGCGGGCTTCCAGTGAACACTTTGCCCCCCAGTCTGAGACCAGAGGGAAGCCCTGACGGCCGGTCGGCTCCTTGTTCACACACGTCACTGGGTTTCATGGTCTGCACGACGAAGTCCAAATGCAGGCTTACGTCTCAGTCCTGTGGTGTGAAGTTGTCCTTAGTCCTGTCAGCAGGATATCGCGTGGCCCTTCTCTGGGGTATCACAGCACTTCACGTATAACTTTCTAATAACACCGAGCAAATTCTGTCTTAAATTCCAGTCTTGGTGTATCTGCCTTATGCGTGCCTGAGGCTCGGGAAGTGGGCGTCTGTCATCTGCGTCCTCGTGTCCCCTGCAGAGTTCAGCCCAGGGCTTTCACCTAACAGGGAGGAAAAGAGTAGAATAAATAGTAATAGTTTTGAAATGTTATTTTTATATGTATAAAATATCCTGCCATAACTAGGGATAGTATATACAATATTCGTATGCTCTTTAATTATAGCTCCTCTAGAGTGAATAGCAATGATGAGAATTCAAATTAGTAGGTAGTCACAGAACTATTTTTAACTGAGTTATGAATGTCCCTTCACTCTTAATTTAAACATGGATATGTTTAGTGTTTCCAAATCCACTCCACCCAGAATAAGGAAACCTTGACCCAGAAGGCCTGGAGCCTGTCCCCTGGCCTGCTCACGCAGCCGGCTTCGTGCCGGGACTGCCCTGTTCTCCCCCATTCACGTACCCATCCCCCTGCCTTTCCCAGAACTGACCCATGGCGAATGTTTACATTTCAAATAACTTCCTTGTGTGCATGTTAAGTACGAACTGAGATGTCAAAACAGCGTGAATTAACCAGGTGAGGGCCACCTGAACTCCGTTGGCCTGAAAATACACGTCAGTGTGAACAACCTGAGAGCATGTCCTATTCCCCGAGTTCCAAGCCGGTCTCCAGCCTGCCACCCCTTTTCGTCCCCAGTTGGCACTTTCAGGGACACTCCTGCAGTGCAGTGAAATGCCTTCTTATTGGGGATTGGGTCGAAAGACCTGTATCAGGAGGCATTTTGCAAAGGTCATCTGTTTAGAGCAATAGATTTAAGATGACCACGAGCCTAACCATTTTAAGGAGAAGCCATGCAGTGTAGTCTACTATAGCATTGCTTCTCAGACTTTGCTGACCACCTGAATTACTAGGGCATCGCACTGAAATTCAGAGTGTGGCTCAGCAGGTCTGAGGTGAGCAGGAGATTCCCCATTTCTACTCAGCTCCCAGACGAGGCTGATGTGCTGGTCCCGTCTACACCAGGCAGAGACCTGCGGGCGGTTTCTGGGAATTTGGTGACTCTGGTTTTTTATCTTGGCCTGTCACTTAGTCAAAATGGTTTACCTTTCTGGGTCTTGGTTTTCCTAATCTGCAGCATGAGAGGGTCGAAGGGAACGATACCTAACAGTTCTTTTGAGATCTAACATTTTTTGACGACATGGGAGGAAGTAAAAAAACAAGGAGCCTGGCTAAAGTTCTGAGCACATTTATGTTTCCTGATTCTCAAGCGAACTTTCGCTTTTTGTTAGCAGTTTATCTTCATTGGACTATGAATGACAAGCATTCATGTTTTCCATATTTATGTTAGAATGTGGACCTTCATAAAGCAATTCTAAATCTCACGATTTTATAAAGAAATTGCGGGTAAAATATACTTTTCCCTCCAGCCTCATCTTTTATGTATGTTCTGTTGTTTTTATTTCATTAGGAAATACTCCATAGCTTGGGTGGAATTGAAAACCTAGCTCAGGTAAGATTCCCTTTGTGGCAGCTGGTCTTGCCTTTCGGTTTCGCACCATGGCCTGGGCAAGGGGCATATAGGTGTGTGACAGAGGATGGCTTTTTTTAACCTTCGGCCGCCTGCCAAGAGGAGGAATAGGCAGGGTTAATAAGTGAGTGTGAGGCAGGGTATGTGGAGCAGGGCGGGACCCATGACATTTTGTTCTGGCTAATTGGGCTCACCTTACCCAGCCTGCTGAAACAAGAAGGTGCTATAAAAGGCCACACGTCCTCAGTTTGCAATGACAAGAAACAGGCCTTGGCTGGCAGACCTGAGTCCTCAGTGTTGCACGCGCCAGCTGACCGGAGAGAGCACCGGTGTGCAGCTGTGCACAGCTTCCTCACACACTGGGGTGCTCACTGACATTCTAACCAATACACGGCAACGTGAGGAACGATTCCAACTTCACTGACTTTTCTGCTTTGGTAACGACGGAGGGAGGGTAAGCAGGAGAAGACTCGTGCTGATCTAGTCCACTGTTAGGTCTGTTCCCCGGATCAAACGTGGCATGCATTGAGAGGAAGCCGTCCATTCTCCTAACCCCGCAGCCTGGACGGAAAGAACGGTTTTCCGAATAAGCCCGCGGCCCTGCAAACTCACTCCACATTGTTAAAGGGGCATTACGTTCAATGGCACTGTAATGCGAAATCTATTTTATTTTATTATCTTTTCATTTGGGGGATATTGATACAGCGTTTCTAGCTATTGTTTTTAAGATTTTAAAAAACTGGCTGGAGATTTACCTCATTTAATGAAATAGTCTTTCATAAAATTATATTGTAAATGACATTCACCTCCACTTTAACCTCCATTACAATATCAGAAATTAATGTGTTTCTCTGAACCCGTTTCATATTACAATCAGTTATCCATAGTTACAGTTTATCAGACTACCCCATACCCATCTTATTCTGATTTTTTTTTTTTTAATCCTCACCCGAGGACACTTTTTCATTTTTTGTTCAGATAGAGCAGGAGGGGGAGAGAGAGAGAGAGAAACATCGATGTGAAAGGGACACGTCGAGTGGCTGCCACCCGCACGACCAACCAGGGCCGGGGACAAACTGCAACTGAAGCACGCGCCCTTAGCGGGAACTGAACCCGGGTCTCTCCGGACTGCAGGCCGACGCTCTAACCGCTGAGCCAAACCAGCCAGGGCTTATTCTGATGTTTACTATGTGCTTATATGCTGATTAGCTATAACTTAGGATATTATAAAATGTAAGATCAATAAAATATATCTGTTATAAAAATTCTATAAAGTTACGTTGAAGAAATAAAATTCTATGTACTATATATAATGCATCTCATTTGTATCTTGTACTTGGAGACTAAATTACACTACAAACTTAGTCATTTACAAATTATTTGGGGACTTTTGAGAGTTTATGCAGTTTTTGCCTGGTCCTTCCCTTAATTAACTTCAGGCAAAGAGAAGGCAAAGAATCCAGGAACTCAACCACCTTTTAGCACTTGAGTGAAACGGGCCCAGAAGCGCTATTATTTGGTGAATCTGTTGCGCCACCTACAGCTCATTTTCAGAAGTGCACAATCTTGTCACCTGCTGCGTGCTTTTGGTGTCTTCTCTTCTGACTTGCTTGTTGGTTTGGTCCCTCCTGCAGTACATGGAGATGGTGGCCAATGAGTACCTCGGCTACAGTGAAGAGCAGCACAGTGTGGACAAGCTGGTCAACATGACATGTGAGCATTGTCAGGCACACAGCCGAGCCAACTCTGCACTTGCTAGACTAGGCGGCATGGTGTTTGCAGCAGGAAAAGGGTTACTTCGCACATTTATGAGTGTATCCATGCAGTTGTATGGTGAGAATCCATGCCAATTGTTATAGTCAGTGCCAAAATATACCCAGAAGGAAGACTTTTAGATCACAGCTGATACCTTGAAAAGCCCAATTTCATGTTTAAGAAGATTTTCATTGAGCACAAGCTTTCTTTATTTAAGACTTCCATAGTAGCAGATTTTGGTAAAATCATTTTTTGGCTCCTCTAATTCCTATTAAAATGTCAGAGGCTATTCAGTTTTCATCTATAAAGTTGGGTTAATAATGATACCCAGCTCAAAACATTTGGAACATCCAAAACATAAAACAACCCGACTGTGATGGCAATAATGTGACAATATTGGTCTGTGTGACTGAGCTATTCACTCAGGCTTCTCTCTCCCTGGAGGCTCTTCCCGGCCCCACCTTCCATCCTCTTCAGGTTCCATGAGCCAGGGCCCTCCTGCTGCTGGGCGCCAGCCCACTCACTTTGTGAACAGGCTGGTTTCCTGGGTTCTACAGGACAGCACACGGACTCAGTTACGGGGAAAGTGCAGGCGGCAAGCCCGGGGCACCCGGACCTGAGAACACCTGTCGGCCTCAGCTGAGGACCGTGCACGGTCCATCCCATTTGCAGGCTTTCCCTGTCCTCTTCCTAAAGTTCAAGGCTTCATAGGGAGGCTGTTGGGAAGTAGGTTTCACTCCCAACTTGTAGTGTCAACAGACTCATTTAACTATGTGGAAGAAAAGATTTGCCTTTTTGCTATCTCCCTTATTTCATTATTATAATAGTATTAAACAATAAATACTAGCTGAGCCTGAGAGGTAATTCTGGAATTTAAAATCTACCCACACGCCCTGGCCGGTTTGGCTCCGCAGTTGGAGCATCGGTCTGTGGACCAGAGAGTCCCGGGTTCGGTTCCCGCTAGGGGCACGTACCAAAAAAAAAGTAAAATCCTCCCCCCCCCCCACATTGCTCTGTTCCTTCTGTGTTATCTCTTTTCCCATTTGCCCTTTCTCTGCTTGTCCATCAATACTTCACACCTGAGGTTCTATGAGTACTGCCCTTTTGAAGCTCAGAATCCCTCTTTGAGTTATTTTCTTCCTTTCTAGATATTTTTCAAAAACTTGCTGCTGTCAAAGACCAAAGAGAATGGGTCACCACAAGTGGAGCCCACAAGGTGAGTGGTCCTGGAAAGAGTGAACACTTCAGCTCCATGTGGCAGGGGTCACACGCTGGGTGGGGTTCAGAGCCCCTGTGGTCAAGTCTCATGTAATTATAATTCACAAATCTGCTAACCTAGCCTCAAATTGTAAATCTCTGCTAACCCTGTTATATTCTTATGAGCCCAAGGAGCAAATATAGGGGTTTCTGAAACTTTTTTTTTCTGTATGTCACTTAATATCAACTAAGTTTATTGCTTAATTTAAATGTTGCTTGGAAAACCCTCGCTATACATAAACTGACGCTTTGAGGTATGTACTTTATATAAATAAACAGATACATTGGATGTATTCATATGAGTACATTCCATATGGTACCAGAAGGAAGACTTTTAGATCACAGCTCCTGTCATGAAAAGCCCATTTCCATGTGTATGTAAGATTTTCACCAAGTGCAAGCTTACTGTATTTAACATAAGACGGACTTTCATAACAGTAGATTTGGGTAAAAAAATTTTATGTTCACTTGATTTCTATTAAAATGTCAGAAGCTAGTCATTCACTTTCCATCTACAAAGTAGGGTTGATAATAATACCTATCTCATTCCAATTTTAAAAAAGAGTTGTGTTTTTTTTTTTTTTCATTTCAAAAAGTGCGTTTCAGGGTTACAGTGGTTTGAACTGTATGAAATTGCCATAAAGGCCAATTTTACATGGTCAATCTCATCATCAGATGGTATAATATTATGAGCATATGGGTCAAATGTACATTTCAAGATGGTTGAATGCAGGTTTAACCGAAACAGACTGCATTTGTATTTATAGCAACACTGTTCCGATGGTAGCTGCCGAAAGCCGAGTTTCAATCACGTGTTCGTTTCTCATATCCCAGGAAGGCACTTTGCAGCGTATATTAGAGCAAGATTGCCTACGGTGCTGCTCACTGTGCAGGGGAAGATTCTGGGTGATGTACAGGTCAACATTTTCATTTCAATGGCTACATATTTCACTGATATTATTTCTTAGAAGTCGACACACATTTTTGAGTAGCATCGAGGGTCTAAGTGGATGTGGCAAAAATTGTGATAAGATTGTCAGTGACTGACGTTTGGAAAACATGAAGTAGGAAGACAGAGAAAAGAAAAAGTGAGAGATGAAAAGAGGAAAGGATCAGAAAAACAAAGATAATGATAGCTTCATAAAAATACACGAGATCATAAAGGAGAAAAAGCGACACGGTGGAAACCCAGAAAACAGCCAGCAGTTGCTGCAGCTCCGGCCTGGAATATGCTTGAGTGTGTACTTCTGGGGGACTCTGAGTCCCAAACATGTACAGAGAAGAGAAATGAGCTTGCGTAGTAGGAATTCAGAGGAGCCAACTGGTGAGACGCAGAAGACTTCTAGCTAAGTCGTGTTACTCGGGATGATGGGTGTCTGGAAGTACTGATGTGTACTCTTTCAGCACTGAGTAGCAATCGGAGAGGCAAATGGAGTGCCCGGTCATGTTGACACATCTTGCTTAGTTTGGGGGAAAAAATGACAGCTCTCAACATTTTGGTGAAAAATAGTTCCGTAATGTGGAAAGTGCCTAATACAATGCCTGACTCAGAATGTGTTCTCAATGACGGGTATTATATGTACTTAGTTATTCTGGCCGGTGTTCATGTCATTAATCTCCTCACTTCTCCTTGGGGGAAGGGTCATAAGAGGCAAAGCAGACCTCTTGGGTACATGGAAGTAGAGGGAAGTGTGAGAACCAGGCTGGCGAGTAGCTTGGTCCCTTTCCCTTTCTGTCCCGGGCAAGGAGGCTACAAGGCGCTCGTGCCAAGAGTTCCAAGTGAGGAGGGGATCAACACCTGTCCCCTGTAAAGAACTGGATGTCGTGAATGTTTAGCAGAACTCCTTTTGAGGTTAAGCCTCTATGATCTTTACAAGGAAACATTACACTGTTCAAGAAACACGTAGTACTTACATAATTAAACTTTTCTTTTTTTTCATTTTTTTTCAGACATTAGTAAATTTACTCGGTTCCCGAGACACTAATGTTCTGCTGGGCGCCCTTCTGGCTCTGGCTAGTTTAGCTGAAAGGTAAGTGTATCGTGATATATTTTCTGGTTCTGCTGCCGGAGCAGTTTAGATGGCAGAGATACAAAATACATTAGTTTCTCTAGTTACTTTGCTACCTACTTAGAAAAATAAGCATCACATACCATTAATATATTGAAGAGAATCCTGGATGGAAAACCAACACTTTAAAATTTAAGTAGTTGGAAAGGCAAATCACAGATTAAAAATTTCTTTCTCTTTTTTTCTGACCAGAAATATTTACCTAGTCTTTCATCCAACCCTCATTTACTTCTACTTTCAAAATTACCACAATATTTCTTTGACAATTGAATCTCCCTAACTTTCTGTTGTCTTTTTTTTCCTGTGTACTTACTTAACATATAAAACATTTTCAAACATTATTACCCTTAAAAAAATCTAGATAACCTGTCCTCTTATAGATGTCATGACTGTTTTAAATAAAAGAGCTGTACATATATTTTAGGCCAATAAGTGGATTATTGCTTTTTGTTTGTTTGTTTGTTTTGAGTTTTTTCCATCAACTTTATAGGAAATAGTTGACAAATATAACTGTATGTATTTAAAGTATAAAGAATGATGACTTGATATACATTGCACCATGATTACCAAGATCAAGATAATTAATTCACCCATCACCTCACATAGTTAACTCTGTGTGTGTGTGTGTGTGTGTGTGTGTGATAAGATCACAGATCTGCTCTCAGCAACTTTTATGTATACAATACTATATTAGTGACTACGGTCACCATGTTATGCATTAGATCCTCAGGATTCTTCTTGTAACTGCAAGTTTATACCCTTTACTTTAACCTATATCTTCCCATTTCCTCGTCTTCCCAGACCCTGGAACTACCCACCATTCTAGTCTCTGTTTCTGTTTAATCAATTTTTTGTTTTGTTGCTGTTTTTAGATTCCACATATAAGCGATGACATATAGGATTCACCTGTCTGGCTTCTTTCACTTAGCGTAATACCCTCCAGGTTCATCCATGTTTCTTATTTTTATGGCTGAATAATATTCAATTGTATATATCACATTTGCTTTATCCATTCATCTGTCAAAGGACATATAGCTCGTTTGCATATTTTAGCTCTTGTGAGAAGTGCCGATCATTACTTTGTTGATGAACAGCATGATTTCCTTGCAGAATGGGATTATGCTATCATCATACTGTTATTAAATAAATTTATGACATAAAATATTTATTGAATGTTGGAATGTGGTGCAACCCTGTCCTATGGAGTTATATTGCATTTTGCTTCTGAAATAATATGAGAGCTAGGATATTAAATAAATGAATATGGTAAACTATGTTTTTAATAGTTACTAATAGTTTTCAATTTGTAGCCCAGAATGTAGGGAGAAGATAAGTGAACTCAACATTGTAGAAAATCTGCTGATGATTTTACATGAATATGACTTACTTTCCAAAAGGTAGGATTGCTAACAGGGAAAAAGACAATGTCTTATATTTGATGAAAAGAATTATTATTATTTTTATTGTGTCATGTTATTTACATTGTTAACTGAATATCATGAATCAGCTTGGCATTTATTTTCTATTTAATTTTATATGAAGAAAGTAGACCAACATGGTGTATTAATGTCTTTCTTTGGTCCTGCATTGCTTTTAGATGTGGGCATAGAATAACATTGTATAAATCGTATGATCACATCTTTAATATTTTTTAAATTTCATTTATTTGCATCTTGTCTCTTCAAGGAAAGAAACTCTGAGATGGCTCTATTTTTAGTAATTTCAGATTGTATGTCGAATAAATGACTCATTACTACAATCTATTTTTCTTAAGGCCTGTAAAATAAATTAAGACAGGTACTGACTTGTTTCATGACCTCCTGTTTTCATAACTTAAAACAGAATCTAAAGTAAAGTGAAATCATTTTAAATTGAACTACGTATTGCTCTAAAGAATTACTGTATGCAGATAGTTATTGGTTGAAAAATTTTTTTTCTTTATTGATTTTAGAGAGAGAGGAAGGGAGAGGGTGAGAGAGAGAGAGAGACATCAATGAGAGAGACCATTGATTGGCCCCCTCCTGCATACCCCCCACTGGGGATCGGGCTCACAACCTGGACATGTGCCCTGACTGGGAATCGAACCCGTGACCTCTTGGTGTATCAGTCGACGCTCAACCACTGAGCTACACCGGCCAGGCTATTAGTTTGTTTTTAAATACAGTTTGGCAGCCAACATCATTTGATATTTAGTTCAGTAAATAATTTTCTAAAGATGCAAAATAAATAACAGAAGTCAGTAATGAAACTCTGACACTTAATTCATAGTAAGTCCCCCTAGATTCTTCTTTAAAGCCATCTTAACATTCTTTTACAAACTACACTTACAGACTTGGCTATCTGAACTCATTCACCTAACAAACGCCTCTGCACAAGTGTGGGCAAACCAAAGCTGGATGCGACACGAGTGTACAGTGGAGGAGAGGGCAGACACGCCCGTCAGCAGCTTCATCGTAGCTCTGGAGGTGGGCGGTCAGTGGTGCACCGGAAGGAGGAGCTATCTAGGCAGAGGGAGACAGCAAGTAAAAACAGAATGTGCCCCACATGGTTGGGCTCACATGGTTGGGCACAGCAGGAAAAGTGCCAGAAATCTAGACTAGACAGTGCTAATGCTACATTAAAAATGTAGCTGCCCTGACCGGTTTGGCTCAGTGGTTCGAGTGTCGGCCCGAGGACCAAAGAGTCGCGGGTTCGATTCTGGTCAAGGGCACATACCTCAGTTGCGGTTCGTCCCCACGGTTGTGCGGGAGGCAACCAGTGAGTGTGTCTTTCTCTCTTTCTCCCTTCTACTCTGTTTGATGATAAATAGAAAAATATCCTCAGGTGAGGATTAAAAACAAACAAATTAATTATTGGTATATATTTAGCTAATTTTGCCCTGGCTGATTTGGCTCAGCGGTTAGAGTGTCAGCCCATGGACCAGAGGGTCAAGGGTTTGATTCCTGATCAAGTGCATGTACTTGGGTTGCAGGTTTGATTCCTAGCCCTGGTCAGGGTTATGTGGGAGACACATCCAATCGATGGGTCTCTCTCACATTGATGTTTCTCTCTCCCTTCCTCTCTCTCTCCCTCCCTCCCTTCCACTCTCTCTAAAAATCAATGGAAAATTATCCTCAGGGGAGGATTCACAAGAACAACAACAACAACTATATATATATTATATATATATTTATATCTATATCTATATAATTCATAAATATATATCTATATATAATTCATAAATATCTATATCTAATCTATATCTATATCTATGTCTATATCTAATTCATAAATATCTATATCTAATCTATATCTATATCTATCTATATCTATATCTAATCTATATCTATATCTATCTATATATCTATATCTATATCTATATCTATATCTATATCTATATCTATATCTATATCTATCTATCTATCTATCTATCTATCTATCTATCTATATAATTTTGGTCAGGGCCCTGCTCTAAGCAATTCTATGTGTTCACTCATTTGATCTGCACAATAACCCCATTAATTTTTATATTTTATGGCTGAAGCAATAAGACACCATTAGGTCATGATGGGCTCTTTGTGCTAAATAAGGAGTGTGCGTAGCATTGATCATGAACAGTAGGGGGACTCCAAGAAATACTGTAAGCATGACCAGGTTTACCTGGGGAAAGTTTGCTCGAATAGCTGCGTGTGAGGGCTGTGGGTGGGGCATATAGCTGCACAATGAGGTCCGTCTAGAACAAGGGAGGGGTGTGTTGTGTAGAAAGCTTGAGAAGGTGAAGACAACTGTTTACCTAAGAACATATGTTCTGAATGTCACAGCACAAAAGTTTGGGAGGGAGAGAAGCAGTGGAAAATTGGCTCAGAGGAAAGGAATTCTGAAGCGGTAGGATATTGGAGAGGTGGATGACGGAGGGGCTTATACCTTGAGCCCAATCAAGTGTTACAAGAAAGGGAGGAGCAGCGAGGGGAGCCAGCTGCATGGCTTACCAGAGGCTCCGCTCCATCAGCTGCCCAGGAAGCAGGCCACTGACGGTTCTCAGCTGCCTGGGGCAGGTTGGGAAAGGAGAAGGCAGAGTCTCAGATGATTCCCACTCTTCTGGCTTGGAAAGTTGGAAAGACCGTGGTGTCATGAATCAAGATCAGGGCTATAAGAGGAAGAGCCGATTGTGGAAGGAGGATACTGTCTTTTCGTTTAGACCCAGTGGGGTGAGTACCTGTGGATCAGCTCTGTAGCTAGAACTTATGGAGGTTGGGAGTGATACCCAGGCCAGGCTCACAATGCTGGGGTCTAGGGAGTGTTTGAAGCCATGGGAATGGGTGATACCATCCAGGAACAGCGTTTAGAGGGTGGTTCTAGGAAATGTTCATTATCACAAGCTTTCGGAACTCAGCTGAACCTCATGTCTTATGCCATCATTATCTTTACTTACTCTCTAGATATTCCCTGAACACTTTGCATTTAATTCCCCTGCACTGTAGTGTTTTTGTCATTTGGCACTAATATCTTGTTTTTGCAACCACGTAGTAAGTTTCTGAAGACTAGGATAAAGCTTTTATATTTCTTTTGTCTTGAGGGCAATGCTCAAGACATTGTGTGTACTTGACGTCTATTTGCTAGTTAGTAGGTTTTTAGCTGGGCCAATAGAGATACAATAAGAATATGACTTAGAACAGTAGTCAGCAAACTGTGGCTACTGTCAGCAAACCTGAAGACTAGATTTGGCCCCCTGCTTGTTTTTGTAAATAAAGATTTATTGAGCCATAGCCCTATCCATGTGCTTTTATGTGTTGTCTATGGCTGCCTTTGTACATTTTGGCATGATTGGGTAGTTGTGACAGAGCCTATATGCCAGCAAAGCCCAAAACATTTGGCTGTGGTCAGCCCTTCACAATAAACGTGTGTTGGCCTGTGATTTAGAAAATGTTAGTTATAGTCCATGCAGTGATGATAGCTCTAGTCTAAATGTAAAGACAGTAACTAAGGCTGTGATTCCCCCTCGCCCTCCCCACCCCCAGACTGACTGCGGAGTTGCTGCGCCTCCTTTGCGCGGAGCCCCAGGTGAAGGAGCAGGTGAAGCTCTATGAAGGCATCCCCGTCCTCCTCAGCCTGCTCCACTCCGACCACCTGAAGCTGCTCTGGAGTGTGGTCTGGATCCTGGTGCAGGTGTGCGAGGACCCCGAGACAAGTGTGGAAATCCGCGTTTGGGGCGGCATCAAGCAGCTTCTTCATATTTTACGAGGGTGAGTCAGGGTGGGCTTCGGCCCACTGTGCCCTAGTCCTGAAGACTGAGGACGCTGCCATATGATGGCAGATCGGGTACATGCTCAACGCTCTCCCTCCTGGTCTTCATCGTCCATGCTTTGCAGAGTCATTTATACTTGTTGCACACATGCTGTAAATCCACGTTGGGGGCATCCGCCTTTTAAGCTCCTTGGGAGCCTGATGTGTTTATGTTGACCTCACCGGCCTCCAGTACAGTGCCAGCCACATAGGAGGCCATCTGGCTACAAATGTAGGTTGAATGGAAACCCAGTAACCCACATTGGAAAACATTTGTCTTGCCGCCTTTTCCTTGAGTCAGTATATAGGCCTGTTGTAATCCCAGCACGTACAGTAATGACTGCTATTTTACTAAAATGTCTGTGTGTGCATATATGTTATTCATCTGCAAACGGAAAGGAAAGCCTATATTTAAGGAACAGATGTAGAATCCTTACTTAAAGTAGGAAAAAATATAGTTAATCAAATGATCGCCAGTTCTGACTCTGGTCCAGCTGCTCTTATTTTCTGTGTCATCTTCATTGCAGTGCCCGAAGGTGGCCTAACCCTTATTATGTCTCTTTTAAAAGTAGAGTTCCAGTGGCATTCAAAGCCATGTGTATGAGTGTGTTAAAATAATTTCAAATTGAAATTCTCTTGATGTTTCAATAACTACTATATTGTATGTGGTAGATATATTGAAATATTGAATAACAACATCTTTTGGTACTATCAGTGGGAAGGTTCTATTGCCTAAAGTTATTATAAAGCATAATTCAGTCCTATAGGTGCTAAATCAAAGTTGCAAAGAATATGTCTGCCTGAAAGGGCTCATATTTGTGATCAGTGGCATATAAATAAAGCTCATGCTTAATAAAAGCAGAGTGACTTGTCAAGTTTAATATGACTAGATATCATCAAGTCAACATTATTCAGACTTTGTGATTGTTATGCCTCCAGGGACATCGAGAACCATGTGTTATCAACTTCATGTTTCCTGAGGGAACACTTGAAAGCATAAGAACAGACTGTAGCACTATGAGCCATAGCTTTGTCAGCGATTTCTGTTATTGTCAAAACACAGGGAAAATATTATGGACTGTTGACAGTCTACTTGCTTTTCTGAATATCACATAAAAGCCTCAAATACTTTAAAGTATAAATCGTTCATTAGCACCGTGACATGATAATTGGTCAAAATAATTACAATTGACAGTTTTGTTTTTGCTTGAGTTTGTAAGATGATGATGGCGATGTTGACAGTGGTGGTGGTGATTATTATTTATCAGTATGCTTATTTATAACAGCTATGGGTTACTCCATTGGAGAGAGTTATTTTCTTGATGATTATATTAAATTTATTTATTTATTCATTAAACAATTTTTTTTTCTTTATTGATTTTAGAGAGAGAGGAAGGGAGAGGGAGGGAGAGAGAGAAACATTGATGAGAGAGAACATCGATTGGCCGCCTCCTGCATGCCCCCCACTGGGGATCAGGCCCACAACCTGGGCATGTGTCCTGACCAGGAATCAAACCAGGTTGACACTCAACCACTGAGCCACACCGACCGGGCGATTACATTAAATTTTATAATCGTTAAGCAATACTTCAAAGACAAAACCTACCCTTTTATGACATAGAATTGAGTTTAATTTAAGGAACCATTTTCCATTATCCTTGATAGAAAAGAGTTCTTTCTTGTCTAATGAGGCATTTCCAGAGTCCGTTTCTAGGGTGCAATGTTAGAAAACTCTTCTGGGAAGATGATAGATGTCAACACTTATTCTGCGTGAAATATTTCTCAGTGCTCTGGGGGAATTTATCACCCCAGCTGCATAAACAACATCCTTTCAGAGCCTGTGCCCTGCCCCTGAGCTGCCTCCAGCTGGGTCCGGGGTGGAGGTTGCCAGGTTGTCTGCTGGCTTGAGTAGGAACAGGTGTTGTCAGGGCAGTGTCCAGAAAACCTGTTCCTACCCATTCACCCAAAGCCCCAGCCTCAAAGGTGGCTCCCAAAGGGCTGCACACTCTTGATAATGCGGAATAATCCCGCAATCCACATTTTAGCATAGTCACGTTGACAGATAAGAGCACTGATTATGACTATCCCTAGACCCAGGTCCATTGCCTTTCCACGCACAGTGAAGGAAGGACACCAGTGGGCCCAGATGATGTGGGAGACTCTATCCACATTACGTCCAGGTACAGAAATCCAGGTGGAGCTGCTGTCATACAAAAACATAAAGGAAAAATAACGTGGTACCACATAAAACAAAAGGGAACAAAGCATCTATTGTGGAAGATGTTGCACTAGATAAACAGAAAAAATGCTTTATTTTATTAAAGATGTTAACAAGAACATGAAATTTATGAGTGAGATTAAAGATGAGACAAGAGAACAATAAAAAGGGCCAGAGAGAGATTGCAGAGCTAGGAAAGAAGACAAAGACTGAATAACCTACACAGAGCTGATAAATTCACTAGAAAACGGAATTAGGAAAAGGAAGGGCAAGCCTGAAAAAAATTACACATAATGTAGAGGAGAAAGACACAAGAATAAGAGCAATTAGAAAATGTAAGATTTGTCCAGCAGAAGATGAGATTTCAACACGGGGATAATTGATAATCCTGAGTTAGAGAATAAAACAAAAGGAATAAAAAAATTCAAAGTTATAGTAGAAGAGAATTTTTCTTACATAAATGAAGATTGGAATTTTATGCAACAAGAAGGCAAAATGATGAAGACTCAGATGTATTCAGGTGAATCGACTGCAGCAGAGTGGAGTTCAAGAGCAAAGGTGGCCATGTGGAACAGTGAGAAAGGACCGTCTTTTCAATAAATAGTGCTGAGCAGTTTAGTGATCATATTTTTAGAGAAAAAAAAGGAAAGAATGGAAAAAGGTAGAACATAAGAAAGAAATTACTCCCACCTCATACCATATACAAAAATCACTTCTAGGGGGATTGGAAGGTGAAACAATAGATAGAACATCACAGAAAACTTCATGACAAAGACTTCTTTTCTTTCTTCCTCTTCCTTCCTCCCTCTCTGTTTTTGTAAATATGTATATATTTTTTTTTGGCTAATCCTCACCCGAGGATATATTTTTTCCATTGATTTTTAGATAAAGCAGAAGGGAGGGAGGGCGGGAGGGAGAGAGAGAGAAACATTGATGTGAGAGGGACACATCAGTTGGTTGCCTTCTGCATGGCCGGGGATCGAACCTGCAACCCAGGTATGTACCCTTGACTAGGAATCGAACCTGAGACCCTTCAGTCTGCAAGCCAGCACTCTAACAGCTGAGCCAAACTGGCCAGGGCTGCAACGATTTCTTAAACAGGGCTCAGAAAGCACTCACCAGGACGGAAAGCTGATAATTGAGCTGTGCACTGACTTTTCTTTTTCAGAGACAGGAATTTGGTTTCCGATCGCTCTTCCATCGGAAGCCTGTCGAGTGCAAACGCGGCAGGCCGGATCCAGCAGCTCCGCTTGTCGGAGGATTTAAGCCCTCGGGAAATACAAGAAAACACTTTCTCTCTTCAAGCCGGTATTTATATCATGTTGTCATATTGTCCTATTTTACACTCTTTAATATTTTATTGTCTTATTATTCTCTTTATAAAATTAGTATGATAATTAATTAGGCACGATTTATAGGTTTAAAAAATGTGGAATGAAATCCACGTGGAAGCCCGATTCTTGTTGGCACCAGTGTCGGACTTGCAGGTTAATGATACCACAAACTCTCTTTTCCCTTGTATGTTCTGAACACATCAAGAAGTCAACATAAACGTCAGACATAAAGGCAGCAGGATACCAGCTTTGTTACTGGTGCAGCTGGATTAGGGCATGCAGTCTGCTCTGTGGCCAGAACTATGGGCTCCACTATCTTCCACATCGCAGGGCACCTGCTGAAGGGAGGGCCTACCACACACGCACCCATCCCACGGGGAGCAAGGAGAGCCTTCCTCACGCCTCTGAGCTCCTAACGAGAAGCAGGGAGGCTGCCTGCGTGGGATCTCCACACGGAAGCAGGAGCGGGAATGTATGCAGGCAGTCTTGGGCAGTCAGCACAACCTTGGACTGTGGTGCAGCCTGTGCCGCCTAAGTGCACGTGGCCGTGGGCAGGCGGGGCTACGGTGCCGCTGACCAAGCTGGTTCTCTGCAGTGGCCACGGGGAGGGACAGAGAGGCGCCAGGTGGGCCTGCAGGAGGGCAGGCAGGTCCTAAGAAGGGAAGAGGAGATTTGGTGGGGGAGGAGAAGGGTGGACTTTCTTTGCTTCCTACTCTCTCTCCCTGGAGAGTGGTGATGTTTCCCTAAAGGCTTTGGAGGTCAGGGAGTAGGATCCCCTGGCTGAGCTGTCATTTCGGCTTGCCTCGAAAGGCCTCTGTCTCACTATGAAGGCTCTTACTGGGCACTTCCTGTCTGAAGACTCCCTGGGAAGCCGGATCCAGCTGGAATCAGAGCTCCTAGCCTCTCTAGGTCTCTCACAAGAGTGGATGAGGGTGATGGTGCTCGAGGTCAGAGGGCGGTTACCCGAATGGGGGTGATACGCTCTTTCCTGGGCAGGGGCACAGCAGGCTGGGGACAGGCCTTGGGAGCGGCAGTGGTTACGGGGTAGACAGACCTGTAACGTTTCGTCAAGATGCACACGTGAGATATGTCTGCTTTATGCACCTCATTTTATGCCTCAATAAAAAATTAAAAAATCAGCCCTGGCCAGTTTGGTTCAGCAGTTAGAGTGTTGGCCTGCGGTCTGGCGAGGCCCGGGTTCGGTTCCCGCTAAGGGCACGTATCTTGGTTGCAGTTTGTCCCCGGCCCTGGTTGGGTTGTGTGGGTGGCAACCACTCGATGTGTCCCTTTCATGTCGACATGTCGATGTTTCTCTCTCTCTCCCCCTCCCTCCCTCCCTCCCTCCCTCCCTCCCTTCCTCCCTCTCTCCCACTCTATCTGAACAAAATATCAGTCCTCGGGTGAGGATAAAATAAATAAATAAAAAAAAAAAAAAATCAGAAACAGAAGGTGGTAGGCGCAGGGTGTGAGTTTCGGCTTCACCCCGTGGTTGGCTGTAAGGTCCCGGACAAGTTTCTTAGCCTGTCCAGCCTCAGTTCCGCGAATGCGAAGTGGCGATGGTAGTCGTGGTGTCGTGTTGGGCGGTTACTGTGAGGCTCACGTGAAGGTGTACGTTGACAGCACAGTGCAGGGCCCGTGGCAGGGCTCAGTAACAATGGCCTTATCCCCACGGATTCTCTGGGCTTTAGGGCAGGAGGCAGCTCGTCCAGAATGCCAGAGGCTGCATGGGGGCTGCGAAGAGCTCCTCGGACGAAGGGCGGGGCTCAGGGCATGGGACCTAATGCTGGGCAGATGCTCGGACGCCTGCCCCTTCCACTTATTAGTTCTCTGGCCTGGGCTAATCACCTCTCCGATCCTCAGCCTTCTCGTCTGGAAAAGTAATCATAGTACATACTCGGATTATAAGGGTCAGTTTGGATAATATATTTAAAGTACTCATTGATTCCATCAGTGTAGCTGTGTTTATTGAGCACCTACTAAGTGGCAGGCACATGCTGGGCGCTGGAGATCACAGTGAAGTGGACATGCGGTCCCTGCCTCTTGGTACACAGCGAGAGCTCAATAAAAGGCTTCTGTGGGGGGTGCGGGCACACGTTATGTGACGAGAAGAGTTAGAGAGCCATTAAGAGTCAGTCTCCCTTCCCCCAGAGCCATGCCAGAGGAAGAGGAGTTTTTGGGGAGCGACCTCTGACAGAATTCTCCGGAGTTAGAGTAGTGACGAGACAGTGGGGTACCTCGGCCACAGCGAGGACACGCATGACCGCTTTTTTCCCTTCCAGCCTGCTGTGCTGCCCTCACGGAACTGGTGCTCAGCGACAGCAACGCCCGCCAGGTGGTGCAGGTAGGGCGCTGCCCGAGGAGGGGCCCCGGACAGGTGGTACAGGTAGGGCGCTGCCCGGGGAGGGGCCACGGCCAGGTGGTGCAGGTAGGGCGCTGCCCAGGGAGGGGCCGCGGCCAGGTGGTGCAGGTAGGGCGCTGCCCGGGGAGGGGCCACGGCCAGGTGGTGCAGGTAGGGCGCTGCCCGGGGAGGGGCCGCGGCCAGGTGGTGCAGGTAGGGCGCTGCCCGGGGAGGGGCCGCGGCCAGGTGGTGCAGGTAGGGCGCTGCCTGGGGACAGGCCGAGGCCAGGCCCAGCTCTGTGTCCCAGAACATCGCCTTTGGGATCCCATCATCTGGTTTAAAAATATTTTAACATGTCTTCTTTAACTTATAGAATTCCATTTATAGCCTTGTCCTCCTTCTTTTAACTTGCTTGGCTTAAAAAGAACTGTCATGTGGTTAATTAATAATGTTTCCTCCCTACTCGTGTAGTCCTTTTTACTTTATCTTTTTTAAAATAAGTTATTCTGCATTGCTTTAATCTGGGCATATGGCAGACTATGCGTTAAGGGAAGCAGTGACTTTAAGAGTACAATAGGTGTGTACTTATCAAATGTATGCATCAACTGTATAGAAATACACACTTGTATACAACCCTCGTATGAGTTCCTGTTATAAAAGTTACTCCCTGCTTATTGAATTTTACAGAGAAAACGTTTGTTTTTGGTCAATACAAGACATCCAACTTCAACTTCAAAATATATATAGTGACGCCCTGGCCGGTTTGGCTCAGTGGTTGGAGTGTCGGCCTGTGGACCAGAGAGTCCCTAGTTCGGTTCCCGCTAGGGGCACGTACAAAAAAAAACCAAAACACAACTAAAACCCCAAAATAAAACAAAACAAAATATATATAGGGACATAAAAGTTAAGGGAGGGGGAGGGGGAATCAGTGGGGGGAAAAGGCGAAACATCTGTAACAAAAATTAAAAAAATAATAATAAGTTAATTAGGGATCAAAGCACCAATGATCAGAGTCCTGAAGGGAAGCCCAGCCGGTTGGGGGTAGTGGGTGGAGCAGCTGACTAGGGCATCTTTGATAAGAGAACCGTGGTTCTCAGAACGGTTAGGTTAGCACTGGTCCTTGAACTGACTGAGGGAAAATATCTGGTGAGAGGCTGGTGTGGAAGCAAATGCTGTCAAAATAATTTCTGTTACTGTTACTTGCTGGCTCAGCCTCTCTCCGTTTCGATTTTATCATGTATAAAATAGGGAAATTACAGACGAATCCACAGAATAGCTATGAAGACTAAATGCAGTAAGGCAGGTGAAGCTCTTCAGTTATAATATCCATGTCCACATAGAGTACAGTTAATTATATATTTGCTAGATAATAAAACGTAGCAGTACATTGGTAGTTTTGTTCCTTCCTCCAGGTCTTATTTGTATTGGCAGAAGTCTAGAAAGGTGTTATCTATGTTTTCATGAATAACATTCATTTTCTTTTTAAATCTATTATTCTTGTTTCTTTTATTTTTCTATAATAATTAATGTATATGTATTGTTTTACTGAAAAGCTCTACAGGGAGAAACAATCTTTTATAATTAGGTATTTAAAATCCAATGTATAAAGATTAAAAATATATTTAGGTCCCTTTTGATCCCCTATTCTGTTTTTAAAGTATTTCAATCACTTTAAATTGATACACTTAATTATTTATAATCTTTAAAGACAATTGAAGTTTAAAGACTGTGGTTGTAGCATTGGCGTGTAAGAGTTACACTGACATTTTTAGTGTTGTCCTGTCATATGCACTTAAAGTTCCAAGGTCATGCTAACTATAACATCCTGTTGGTCCTTGAGAGTGTTGAATGGCTTCTTTGTCTTGTGTGTCCCTGTGGCACTGTCACTGGTCCCTGACAACGTGTCCCTTTACTCTTCCAGGAGAATGGTGTATATACAATAGCGAGATTAATTTTACCGAGCAAACAAAAGAATGCAGCAAAAACGAACCTATTACAGGTAATAAACATGTCCACTGCTCTTCATTATCAAGTTACTGAAATCTGGGGAAAGTCTGATAATATAATCTATGATTTTTAGAGTTTTTAGCTAAGGGCTGGTCAAAGTCCTGCCTGGGAGGAAAAGTACCTGGTGAAGGAGGCTCCATGAAGCTCATGCTGTTAAAACGCAGTACAAGGCTTGACAGTGCTTTGTCTGCTGGTGGGAATGAGGTGGTTTTATTTATATACTTCTTTGCTTATCGGTTAGTTCTATTTTTAAAAAACATGTATTGCTTGATTATCAGAAAAAATAAGAGGAACATTAAGCATAGACCACAGTCACGAACACCACCTCTACAAGGGAAAGCCTGTAAGTGGACCTTGGTGGATGAGAAAGACTTGCCAGGTGGATGAAGGAATAGGAAGGGGCACCAGTGGCTTCTGCTGCAGGGTGGAAGGGTGTTCCATATGGGGGAACAGCACGTGCAACAGCTTACAGTTTGGAGCTTAGGCTGCTCAGTGTGGCTGGGGTGTGTGGTTGCGGAGGGGTTCCTACCGGAGATGAGGCCTCAGAGGTAAGAAGGAGACACATTCTGCGAGGCCCTATGTGCTTTTTTGAGAAGCGGGCATCAGGGCCCACTCGAAGACTCTGCAACGATAAAGTCCGATTTTAAGTAAGCCTCTGCAGTAGCTGCAGCTCATCCCCCCCAAGTCACTTAGAAAAGGAAGTATGAAACAGCCTTTGCCGCAGTCTGACTAAGCGCATATCCCAGAGCGGTGGTCAAACCTAGCAGAGAACTTTTGCTGGCATCTGGGGGCTGGCCGCCACAGGTTTTGGAGAGCGACAAGTGGGGGCACACAGGTGTGGGACTGCAGGTGCTCAGTGCCCCGCAGGTGCGTGGGACCGCTGGAGCACAGACACAGTCGAACCCGTCCCGTGTGCATGCATTTGTCCAACAGTTCAGACGGCTTTCGAGGACCATGAGGGCTCTCTGCACTCTCAGCCGCCGCTGCTCCCTCACCGGCCTCCCTTAAGGCGTTTTGTTATCCCCCTGGCTTCTCTGGGCAGTTGTGCGTGTGACCCTTTCTCAGTTTTATGACACGGTTCCAGACTCAAGCTCAGCAGAGCCCGGTCGCCCCCGAGGCGGCCTACTGTGCAGGGACAGAGGCGGGCTGGAGGCTGCCTCTTTATCCCTCGGCACTGCAAAATGTCAGAAGTTTATTTTTCTCCATGAGAGTCTCGCAGGCCTGCTTCTGAGTGTTCGCAGGAGTTACTGGAGATCATTCTATTTGGGGAACGCTTAAGACTCTTTACTCCAGAGACCAATTTGTCCAGCTTGAGTCCAGTGTGCCTGTGGCTATTTTTATGTGTCATCATGTCTAGTGTTTATTTTCTCACAGAAACTATATAAATATTGAGGCATACATAGCAGGCTAGAAACAAAATAAACCTTGAGCTCCTGGAACTCCTCGGACGTTTGGTTTTCTCAGCGTAGGGATTTTATTTCTCGTTTCGGTGCTCATGTTGTACTTTCTAGAAAGGAATGAATGCCAAGTCCTGCGTGAAGCAAGGCCAGGATCCCTAGCACTTCCACAACATCCATGCTTTTCAAAAACAAGTCTGGCTCCCAACGTAGATCAGCCACCGTCCTAATCAAACCACTTTAATGTTTACTCCACAATGATTCTATTCCCAAAGGTCTTCACTTCTTGAGCTACCCGTGGAGAATGACACGTCCTTTTGTTTTCCAGTGTTATGCTTTCAGAGCCTTGAGGTTTCTCTTCAGTATGGAAAGAAACAGACCACTCTTCAAAAGGTATGAGCTTTGAGAAATGCAAGCGACCAGCCGTCACAGCCGGAGCTGTTTGCACAAAGCCGACTCAGAAGCAAACAGTAGAGAAGCATGAGTCAGAATGATGCAAAGCATGGGCCTCCAGACTTCGTAGAAGCCACAGAGCAAACTGAGCTGTCCTAGGGGTGTCTTAACACTGAAAATGAACAAAAGGACGAGAGAGCGTGAATCACGATAGCGATGCAACTCTTCCTAATGACGCGTGGCTGCTATGGTTTTAGTTTCTCTCTCTCTTTTTTAGACATTAACATTTTAAAGAGATGACATTAAAATAGGTGCTCGTTTTAGCCCATTCATAAATTCTAAAGTTGATGTAGTTATGTCCTCTTACAGAAGAAAAGGATTAGTCTGAATGTCTTCCGTAGGGTAGGAGCTCGTTCGAAGGGGAGGAGGCTGATGCTTTGGGCTGGGAGGCTGTGCTGGTGAGCATGACAGAGAAGTCACCGCCTGGGAAGGCAGATGCTGGTTACCTACTTGTGTGGTCTGCATGCGATTTAGTTGGGCAGCTTAGCTAAAGTCTAGGCCCAAGGTCTTACAGGGAGTTTATTGATAAGGCAGACTAGAAATAAAACCTTCAGTTCATGTAACAGCGTTTGTTCAGAAGCATGGAACATTTTATGTTGTTACTTGAATTTAGGGGAATAAAAGGAAATAAAATCATCATTCATTAAAACCTTTCATTTCAAGGCCCCAAATCATCCATTTTGAGTAGACTTAAAGATTTAATAAGCCCTCAAGCCAGTACCTTGGAAATGATGCATAAATCTCTCAATTTTTCTCTTATTTACATGTACTTTTATTTTATTTTCATAAAACATTTAAAAATTAGGCTAATATTTGCCTTCTATGGTTAATATGAGAATTGAATCAAGTGATATTTATGAAAGTGCTCAGTATTTAATAAACACCCAGTAAACATTCCTTAGTAACATGTTTAATACCTATTTCCCCAAATATCTTACAACTAAGGTATTTGTCTAATCTGTATCATACTTATTTTTTTATTGTAGTAAAGAACACATAACATGAGATATACCCTCTTAATAAGTGTTTAATTGTACAATACGGTGCTGTTGAGTGTGAGTGGAAGACTGTACAGTGGATCTCTAGAACTTTCCATTTGTTTCTCTTACCCTCACAAACTATAGCTATGGTTCAATTTTGTGAGATTAGCTGGTGAGTATTCCTTCCATTCTGCCGATCACTTAAGGAAGTCGGGTTTGTTTAATTAATCTGTGCACGAGCTGGATCCAAATCGGAGGGAAAGAGCAACTGTTTCAGATCCTGCATGAAGTGTGTGTGTGTTTTTCCCTGTAGACTTTTCCCCACCGACTTGTTTGAGATCTTCATTGATATAGGACATTATGTTCGTGATATCAGTGCTTATGAAGATTTGGTTTCCAAGCTGAATTCATTAGTGGTAAGTCTTGAGTTTTAAATTTTGGCAGGCTGCTATGTGGTCAGGACAGAATTTATCATGGCTACCCATTTTCTTTTCTTTTCTTTTCTTTTTTTTTGATTAGGAGGATGAACTAAAGCAAATTGCTGAAAATATTGAAAGCATTAATCAGAATAAAGCTCCTTCAAAATATATAGGCAACTATGCAATTTTGGATCATCTTGGAAGTGGAGCTTTTGGCTGTGTTTACAAGGTGACTTTACCCTTAGGGAACAACATTTCTTATATCCCCCCACACACTGGATGTCCCACTTGTATGCCCACACTCAAGTTGAGTTCCAGCCCTCTCCCTGAAAAGTAGTGAAAAATAGACATAAAAATTAAAATCATTTTTTCTGTCCATCATATAGCTGCATCAAAGTTGTCTTGTCTCAACTTTAAGCTCCAGAAATTGGTCACTGATTTTTTAAGACAAAAGCTGTCATTAATTTCTCATAAAAAACAGTAAAAATGGCTTATCCCAATGCATGGCACATTCCTTACATTCACACCAGTGTTTCTGTATTTACGTCATAAAATCCTACAGAATGTTGCAGATTGACCCAGTAGATACCAATTTTCGAGCTGGGCTTAGTGTAAATTCAGACAATTTTAAACATTCCATGACTTACTTAAATGACTTACGTTAATCATGTGACCTTGCTAATGTATCTTTTCCCTCCCCTTTCTACCTCCACCTCATTTTTTGGGGTCTTCCTTATTAGGTTAGAAAACGTAGTGGTCAAAATCTCTTAGCAATGAAAGAAGTCAATTTACATAACCCAGCCTTTGGGAAGGATAAAAAAGATCGAGACAGCAGTGTGAAGAATATTGTTTCTGAATTAACCATCATTAAAGAACAGGTAAATATTTTTTCTTATTTATGAAGGTGTTTTCCTTAAATAAATGCCATCAAAAGAAAGTAGAGTTCTTGTGCTATTCTTGTCCCTGCTGTTTAAGAACTGCCTCTGTTTAAAATAATTGACATTAAGGTGGTGATATTTTACCCAGCTTTTTTCTCTAAGCCATAGAAATGAGCCATAGAAATACTTTCTGGAGTTTATTTCAGGGCAAGGGGTGCAGAACAATAAAGTTTACAGCCCAGAGTGATTTGTACATAAGAAATCCTTCTCTTTCCATTGCAAGCACATCCATTCCCCTCTCCTTACAGTGTAGAGTATTTGGTTACTTAGTTACACGCGTCAGAATATGACCTAGAGTTCCCTGACTTTTGTTAAGTGGAACCAAGCTGTTAACATTCCTCAGATATGGCTTATTAAATCTAAAATGCGGATTTTCCAGATGGGCTGCTATTTATTAGCATGAGCAGAATATTCTGACATAATGTAACAAGTCAATTAACTATCATTATGAAGGTTTGTTTAGGAAGAAAGAATAAACATCAGATGAGAAATGGGACTTCTTTTTGTGATCCAAGAACACACTGGTTTCTCAGCTTTCCTTACTTGTACATTCATTTCAGACGCTGTCATTTATAACTTCTGTGGAGAGTTATCCATTCCACCGGCTTCATCCTCCACTCGTTAACTTTGTGCTGGGACACAAAGATCACCATGTAGTAGAGGATTCTTATGCATCAAATTTTACTGTTTTACTCCAGTTTCTAAATTATAGTAAATTATCATTAATAGATTATTTATAGTTGACTTTTGTGTAGTAACAGACTCGATTTATTTTTAAAAGAACTGAGCTACTCACGCTTAGGATAGCCTAGCCTTGGGCAGTGTGATGTTTCGTTATAACACGGCTGGACCTGGCTTTTGCCCTAAGCTGATCGACCCAGTATCTTCATATGAACTGAAGTCTGGATGCGTCCTGGCCAGTGAGCTAGGTCCAGAATGTGGTGCTAGTTGCTAGTTGATGAGGTACACTAGACCATTTGTTTTAGTTTATTTCCTAAGAAAAGAAAGTGTCAGGGTGGGGCCACATGTCTGCTTGGGTTTGAGATAACTGTGCTCTCAACGGAGGATGAACCAGTGGAAGGAATAAGGACCTCGAGGCCCACGAGGAGGAGGTAACCGAGCTGACAGAGGTGGGCTAGAATGGGAGAGTGTATTTGTTAAGAGTGAGTCTGAGCTATAGGGGGCTCTTCCTCTTTCATGTAACAGTCCCAAAGGAGCCCTCCAGGTGGCCTTGTCCTCTGCTCCAAGCAGACACACAGGGACCCGGTTCTTTCTCTCGCTGCTCTGCTGCCTCAGGGCGTGGTCTTCATCTGCACAGCTGGATTGCGTGGGCACATCACAGCCAAGTGGGCAGGGGGCGGGGACTGGGGGTGCACTCTTCACGGCTGAGCCTCAGACACAGGGGCGTGCCTTTCCCTCACACCCCACTGCCGAGAACTGAGGGCAGGCCCGCTCCTGGCCGGAAGGGAGGCTGGGAGGCTGGTCTCTGACTGGGAGGCCATGTCCTGCTACCGCTCTGTTGCAGTGGAGAAGCTGGAGAGCAGGGTTTTGGTGGAGAGCTAGCAGACTCCCTTCACACAGGCAAGAAAGGCCCCAGAGAGATGCAAGCCATTTATAGATGAAATGGTGGCTATTCTGAAATTTAAAAAAATTTCAATTTACCTAGAAACTCAAATTATAAATAAAAATTTGAGTATTCTTATAGGAAATGGCTTTTTATTAAAAAGTAGAATTTCCATGTCATGTCCTGAGATAAACTATGTCAAAGAGATTTACTGGATGCTTTTTAAAAACTGAGATATAGCCCTGGCTGGTTTGGCTCAGCAGTTAGAGCATCAGCCCAGTACCAATGAGTGGAGGGTTTAATTATGGTCAAGGGCACGTACCTCAGTTGCAGTTCCTCTCCGGCCCTGGTTGGGTCGTGGGGGAGGCAATCAGTCGATGTGTCGATTTCATGTCGATGTTTTTCTCTCCTTCTTTCTCCCTCTTCTCCTCCTTCTCACTCTATCTGATAATAAATAGAAAAAATATCCTCAGGTGAATATTAAAAGAAAAATTGAGATATAATTGACATATTACTTTATATTAGTTTCAGATGTACACTATAATGATTCAGTAGTTGGATATATTGTGAAATAATCACCACATAAAGTTTAGTTAATATTCATCACCACACATAGTTACAATTTTTTTGCCTTTGTGATGAGAACTTTTAAACAGCAAAGAAGACTTGATTCAAGACTATTGCTATAGGGGCCAAGTCCAAACACAATGGGATAGCTGGGGAATTACAACAGAAAAGGCAGGGTGAGGGGTCAATGGATGGCAGGTTACTAAGAGGAATTAGGTTGGTGTCAAGGTTGGGAGAAGAAAAACTTGATTAGATAATAAGGACGGGGGGTTAGGGAGGAACCTGATCGGATATCAAGAGTGGGAAGATTCTTGCTAACCTGGCTTATTGGGATTCTTGCTAAACCTAGGTGAGCTTATTCAAGAAGAGGACTCAGAGAAGCTCGAATCAAGTTTGGTCAAAGAGTGTTTGTCAATTATTGTAATTTAAACAGAGTTAGTAACTCTTCGGTTTTGTACTAATCATTTTGGAAAGCATAAAAAGACACAAATAGTGTAAATAGACACAAACAGTGTATGTAGATATCTAAGTGGTGAAGAGAGGTAAAGAGCAAGGATGTATATATTCAACCTAAATTGTTTCATTTTTGTTTTCTCCTCTCTGCATTCTTTGTATGGTATTGGGACCAAGAGTGTTAAATGAATTCTTAAGCTTCCTTCTAGTTCCACAATTCCCAGTTTTAGTTAAATTAGGTGATAAAGCATAGTCTGTTTTTAATTCTATTTGATAAGACTATAGGATATGGCTATTTTAAGATTAGTTTTGTAAGTGTCAAATAAAAAGAATCATGAAAAAAATGTGAAATAGATGCTAACTCCCCCTCCCCTTTTTTATTTAATCCTCACCCGAGGATATTTCTCTATTCTTCAAATAGAGTGGGAGAGAGAGAAAGGGAGAGGGAAAGAAACATCAACGTGAGAGAAGCACATCAACTGGCTTCCTCCCGCACGACCCAGACCAGGGCAGCTGGAGACAAATCGCAACAGAGGTACGTGCCCTTGGCTGGAATCAAACTCATTGGTCTGCGAGCTGATGCTCTACTGCTGAGCCAAACCAGTCAGGTCCCCCCCTTTTTATCAAATTTATTGGGGTGACACTGGTTGACAAAATTATACAGATTTCAGGTGCATAATTCTACAACACATCATCTGTACACTGTATTGTGGTTCACCACTCCAAGTCAAGTCTCCATCCATCACCATTATCCCCCCATACCCTCCTCCTCCTCCTCCATCCCACTTCCCCCATTATATGGTAACTTAAAATGCTTAGTTTTATAAATAAATATAAATACAGTACTTTCTTTGTTTTCAAATATGAAGTCCAACTAAATTGTCTGTAAGAGAAGTTTGTATTTTGAAATAGTGTAATGTTTGTTATTTATTTTCTTATAGCTTTATCATCCCAATGTTGTACACTATTACAAAACATTTCTGGAAAGTAAGTACAAGTTTTCGTGATATTCCTTATTGAAGAAAAATATCTTTGTTACATATTTGTATATTAGAATGTAGAAATATAAGCTCAATCATGAATTTCCTTTATTTTATTGCTCTTTGTATGACAGTTGACAATCTCTTGCATCACTTGCTTAGTCAGTGGAACAGTGACTTAATCAATGACCTAAAGAGGATTATATAGAAAATACCTGGACTCTCAGCTGAGACACTGAATGAACAAACCAAAATCGTTTTTATAGCTATTTTCATACACATAAAAATCACTTAAGATCAGGAAAGAAGAAACTTGAGGATAGTGGCTTTTTAAAAAAAATCAAAAGTTGTTTTTACTTAATTAGATGACATTTTCCATCTCCAAAATAAATTGGGAGTGGGCTAGATCTTTGATTTATTTTACTTGAAGTTCAGACAATTGCCACAAGGTGGTGACGGAGTCCTGACTGATTCTGCAGGCAGGCTCAACTGTAAGGAGAGAACACAGAATCAAAATGTACAGATAAGGCAAAACAGCACAGAACCTCTGCCTGAAGTAATATAAGTATTGCTAAACCTTAGTGATGTACGACACATATGAACTTTCAAAGTAAACCTCCATTTGAAGGAAGATTTAAGAAATATCAGGCAAAGATTGGGGCTTCCTCACCGCCCCTTTATAGTTGCTATGTTAAGCTAACCCGTCGTGGACTTGGACATGTTATGATTTTACCCAGCCCCCTTCCTCTGGATGACTCAGAGGAACTCGGGGCTGAGTCTCCAGTAAATCCTGCACCTTGGCTGTTGGTTCGTGATATTGGAAGAGTTTCCTGGAACTTAGTACATATCCTATCTTATCCAGACTGGCTTCTAACTTGTACAGAAGTGGCACAACTTGTCTTAGTTAAAAATAAAAGCAACAAAAAGTGGTTTTTACAACCTGACTTCTTCCAAAAAGAAATGGAAGTGGCTTAAAAATACACAAAATATGATCAAATAGATTAGAAAATTGTGATTAAAGGAAGCAAAGTGTAAGAAAATTAAAAATAAAGCTAGAGGTAAGGCTAGCATATATAAAAACATTTCTTGGGATTATGAAAAATTGGAAGCAATATAAATGTCTGTCCTTGGGATAATGATTACATGAATTATTATTCAACTGCATTGTGGAATACTATGTAACCAACAGAAAGAGGGGCATGGATCTATGTATACTCACATAAGGCTACTGAACAAAAAACTATAAGCTGCAGAACACATACAGTATGATTTCAGCTTTGTAAATATTGTGTTTATGGATGTTTTATATACATCCAAAGCAATACAAAAGATATATAGTACAGCCCGGCCGGTGTGGCTTGTGGACAGAGAGGTCCTGGTTCGATTCCTGGTCAGGGGACATGCCCAGGTTTCAAGCTCAATCCCCAGTGTGTGTGGGGGATGTGCAGGAGGCAGCTGACTGATGTATCTCTGTCATACAGATGTTTCTCTCTCTCTCTCACTTCCTCTCTCTCTAAAAAAAATCAATAAAAACATATTAAAAAAAGACACATAGTGCATACCCTTGTTGGTAGTTTCATACTGATTCTGAAGGAGGAAGTAGAATTTACTCCTTTGTTTCTTGGTGCCCACACTAAAGAGAGGAACGCAATTAGTTATGAGATGTCGGGTATCCATCAGGTAAAACCAGGAGAAGCCCGGCTTTCTCTGCTCTTGAGGGACATGCAGAAATTTCTATCTTGGGTGGTACTTTCAACTCTGTCATTCATTACAAGACCACGGCAGGATTCCATTGTGAAAATCCGAAAGGCAAATCTACGAGAGCACGAACAATGCGGTTTTCTGAATGGCTGACTTGATTTTAGGGTGAATATTAGACTATTGAGAGGAAAGGTGGGTTTATATGTTCTTCGGGAAATCCTCCTTGATTTGGAATCATGAGCTTGTTCTCTTTGGCACCTCCCAGCTATTCCAGCGTACATAGAAAGTGACCGTTCCTACGTCACAGCGTACATAGAAAGTGACACTACTTGCCAGTGTCAGCTTCTGCTAGGATATAGCCTGTAGCCAGAAGAGACTGTTGCCGGGCTCCAGTTGCCCCAGGACCCGCCCCCCTCCAGGGCTGAGTGGATTCATATCTTAATGCATCTCTAACTCTTTAGTGCTGCGCCCTGCACATTCATGGGGAAGCTCGGATTCTAATTCCTAAGTGTTTCCGAAAGATCTTAATTGAGCTTATGTTTCTATTGTCTTTTTCTTTTATTTTCTATATAGATGATAGGTTGTATATAGTTATGGAACTTATAGAAGGGGTCCCTCTTGGAGAGCATTTCAGTTCTTTGAAGGAAAAACAACTTCATTTTACCGAAGAAAGACTATGGAAAATATTTATTCAGGTACACTTTTGTTCTCATTACATTTTTCTATAAAACTGTGGAGATCGAGCTGATGTCTTAGAGACATGTATAGCAATCATTTGTGGTTATATGTGTGTTGGGGAAAATAAAATGTGTTTCATCTTTGCTGTCTGAAGCTGTGCTTAGCTCTTCGGTACTTACACAAGGAGAAGAGGATTGTCCACAGAGATCTGACACCAAACAACATCATGTTGGGGGATAAGGACAAAGTAACAGTGAGTAAGTATAAAAATTGTACAATTTTTAAGTTGAGAATTTCTGGATATTATTCCAGGGCAGAGCTGTCCCACAGACCTGAATGGCACCGATGGGGATGTTCTGTATCTGCACTATCCAACAGGGTAGCCACTAGCCACAGGTGACTATTGGGCCCTTGAAATGTGGCTCATGGGACTGAGGGTTAGGTTCTTAAATTCTGCTACATTTAGTTAAGTTGAACATCCCTATATGACTAGGAGCTACTGTTGAGTTGTATTTTGCCTATATGAGAGAATCAAGTACCCTTAGGAGGCCTGAGATACTGATTCCCAAACCAATGGTCTGTAGGTATTTTCTGTCTGTAGAATATTACTTCATCAACAAAACTTGTTATAGCAGACAAGTGACAGATCTTCATTAAGCCTATACAGTCGTCCCTCGTTTATCGCGGTTGTACCTGGCATTGAAGGATTCCTGGGGTGCTCGAATACATAGGCCTACAGTCTATACGTACAGTGATTTTAATTGTAATTGTAATACAGGGGTGTATAATTGACTCAGACAACCGAGCGCGCGCTGTATCATTGTCACTGTCTCCATCAACTTTTTGATGAATATATTTGAAAACACCGTGATAGAATGAAGCCGTGGAAGTCGAAGCGCAAAGAGGCGAGGGACGACTGTATAAATACTATTAAATAACTGTATAAAAGATGTAGGGTATATGATATATACAAGAAAAAATTTGTTTAATTCTTCTTAGATGACTATTTAGGCCACATTTCCTGAATGATAGCTAAACCTGCCTTTTATTTTCTCCCCAAATTTAGCTACAATCATGTTCATTGGTAACATTTAACTACACCAAGGCTAATCTATTATTGTAGAAGCCTGGTTTCTTTATTTTCTAAATTTATTTTAATATTTGTTTTCTTTAATCGGTACTACACAGCAAAGTAGTTTACAAAATAAAAGAGTGCTAAAAGGCTAATAAAGAAAAACATAGCCCTCTGCAACTCCCGGTTCTGTGGTCCTCAAACAACCATTTTTCTTTTTAGTTTGATTTTTGGTGTTTGACTTTCCACTGTGACAGTTGAGGATTTCGGTTTTTTATTTCCTCTTCTTCCCCATCTACCATCCTGCCAATATATTTATAGCACACTTTGGGGTTGAATAAATATTCAGTGTTTATATTATTATTACTGTGTAATAATCGTGCAGTGCTGATTATTTTTCCTTTCTCTTAGACCTTTTGTTTTTCTTGGACTTAATAATTGCCTTTTAAAAATATAATACCTATTATTTCTTCTTTTTAAATCTTGCAAAAGCATTATGGAAGCACTGTCTGCACTATTTATACATGGCCAAACCTGACATTTTCCCCTCAATTTTGTTTTCCTGGACAGCCGTTCCTGTAATGGTTGGACTGGGATGTAGTCGGCTACACCAGCCACAGGCTTGTCACTTGCTCCTCTTCTGGTTGGAGTCTCTGTTTCTTACATTCCGTGCCTTTCTCTTCTCTAACTCCCCTGCTTTGCTGAAGTGTACCTTCCAGTACTTTCTTAAGAAACAGTCCTCCGGAAGGTATAGTTTCTGGAAGCTCGCATGTCACCATGCATTTTTATGGGACTGTCATGCTTTCTGGGCCGGGTGTAGCGTTCTCAGAGGAAAGTCGTCACCCTTCTAGGTTTGAGGGCGCCAATCCCGTCTTCCAGCGCCCAGCTCTGCTGCCCCGAAACCAGCGCTCCATCCACGAGCTGCTTGATGTCTTCGGAAACTTTGTTTCCTTTATCCTCTGCTGTGGATGGGTCTCTCTCACTCGGCCTGTCTGGAATTAGGCGTGCTTTTCAGTCTGGAGACTTCAAACCTCAGTCCTGGAAAATGTTCCTGCATGATTTTCTCACAACTCCTCTCCCTCAGCTTTCTCTGTGTCCCCTTCAAGAAATGCTTTTAGTCTTAGATCTTTATATTAAATGGTCTCTTAATTTTTAAAATAATTCTCAGTTTTCAATTCTTTGTTCTACTTTAGAATTATTTGTACAACTTTATTTTCGAGTGCTTCTATGGAATGTTTAGTTTTATCGTATACATATATTAAATATATATGTATATTTATGTATATGTATGTGTGTATATATATATATATATATAAATAATTTTTAAATCCTCACCTGAGGATATTTTTCCATTGATTTTCAGATAGAAAGGGAGAAGGAGAGAGACAGAAACATTGATGTGAGAGAGACACATCAATTGGTTGTGCCTTGCACGACCTGAACCAAGGTCTGGGATCAAACCACAACCTAGGTACGTGCCCTTGACCGGAATTGAACCCGAGACTCTCTGGTCCTCAGGCCAATGCTCTGACTGCTGAGCCAAACATGCCAGGGCTAGTTTTATCATATTTTTAATTCCTTGAACTTTCTTCTTCTTTTTTATTTCATGTTCATGGAATCCTGTTTTGTTAAGGATAATATAGACTTTACTTTTCTTCCAACACCCTGCATTGTTTGTACATCTTCTAGGCCTATCTTTTCTATATGTATATATTTTTTCTATTTAGTTTGATCACTATTTTCTGTTGGAGAATTTCCTCAAGTATCTGTGGATTCTGGACTGCTCCTTAGTAGATACAAGGAAGACACTAAAGAGGGCTGTTGGCAGCTGGTCCCGGTCAAGGCTGTTATATGGTAGACTTCATTAGGTCACAAAGAAGCGTTTCCTTTGAAGACCCCAAAGTCATTGCTTAAACTCTTCCAGATGTTAGTGCACCTCTCACATCTGCCTGAGATAGTGTCCCTCTCTCTGCTGTCGTTTTGGGAGTGACCTGGACGAAGGGGCTAAGGGACCTGTGCTCAGTTGATTTGCACCGAATTCCTGTGAGTTCAGCCCCACTCTGGTTGGTTTCTTTCTCATTCATTTTCTTTGGGAAATAAACCTATTTCTCTGCTAGTGAGAGAGAGACCTTGTTCACTGGTACTTCCCTGTGCGGGTGTGGGAAGGGACCTGAGACACTCTAAAGGCCATGTTTCGAGCTTTTGACTGCGCTCTCCTGCGTGGCACCCTGCGCTCTGCAGGGAATGGGCTCCCTGTGCCCTTGGGGTTCTCAGCCACAGGGGTTGGGACTCCCGCTCTGTACCATCCTCCATCTTCTTCCCAGCTTCCAAAAAAACTCTCATCCTCTGTTGTCTCCTACCCGTTCTCATTGCCCTGGTGTGGGAGAAACTTTTCAAAGAGAGTTTCTTTGTCTTCATTATAACCAAGTGTTTTGAGAGCTGGAGGAGATAAACACATAGAGTCAACCACCTTTAACTCAGAACAGGCAGGCCAGTTACATTGTTATGTCCGCACGTTAGACGTTACACAACGTACCACGTTCATGTTTACGCTCTAATTTTAATAAAAACATACACTTTTATTTATACTGGTATTTGTAAAGGATTCCCTAGAAAAAGTTATTTTAACTTATTTTATTGCAAGAATAAACTTTTGTTTTTCTCTCTTCTGCCTCTCACTGCCATTCTGCTCAACCTTATTCTTATTAATATTTATTAGACTTATACTTAGGAGTTATTCATTTAACATTTATTTTCAATTGTCTTGACTTTTTAGCTTACTTGAGTGAGGCAGTGTTTTTGTAGTTTCAAATAAAGAAGCAGTGATAAATCTCAGAGCAGAACCCTCTCCTCGTCCAGTTCTCTAAAGCAGTGGTATGGACAAGGCATTGATGTGCTACCGCTATTTTAAATGAGTATAAAATAATTTTATGACTTCAAAGGTAATTCACAGAGATTTGACATCACTATTTAAAAATATTTTAAATAAGGAAAAGTGATGAAATATGTTGATATGAATATGGACATTAGAGACTTTTTTTTTATCCTCACCCGAGGACATTTTTCCATTTTTTGTTCAGATAGAGCGGGAGGGAGAGAGAGGAAGAGAGAGAGAGAGAAACATCGATGCGAAGGGACACATGGAGTGGCTGCCACCCACACGACCAACCAGGGCCAGGGACAAACTGCAACCGAGGTACGTGCCCTTAGCGGGAACCGAACCCGGGTCTCTCTGTACCGCAGGCTGACGCTCCAACCGCTGAGCCAACCCGGCCAGGGCTAGAGACTTATTTTTAAGAGAAGTTACAGTTAAATTAAAATCTTAAAGCATTAATATAAAGCCAAATGTACAAAACTCCCATTTGGGGCGTTTTAAATAAAGCTGCAATTCTTAGAGCCTATAAAAATAGTTTGTTGGGTGTGTGTGTGTGCATGTGTGTGCGTGCGCGCGTGTGTGTAAGCATGTCACCACTAAGGGGCAGCCTTGTTATATTTTATTTTTTTCTTTTCTGTGCTAGAAGGTTTATTTACTCCCAGAAAAGAAGCACAGAATTGCCAAGTGATGTTTAAGATGCGTGAGACGAAATGCATTGAAAATGTGACCAGAGAAAAAGCTTTAGAAAAATTGAAATTTCCCTCTTCTTCTGTTTTTTCTCACTGCAGGTGAATTAGATGTTTTAAGGTTAAGGTTGGTTTGCAGTTATTTCTAGTAAGCGTGCTGGCTGGACTTTGCCTTCATAAGGTAACAGATACCAGCATATTTAGGTGTGCATAGTTAAAAAAATTGGTATCTCATTTTAATGTTTAAATATATTTCCACTTAGGAGACTGTATCTTTTTTTGTTTATTTGTTTTAATCCTCACCTGAGGATATGTTTATTGATTTGAGAGAGAGAGAGAGAAACATCAACATGAGAGCAAAACATTGAACGGTTGCCTCCCACATGCGCCCTGACTGGAGATCGAACCTGCAAACTTTTGGTGTATGGGTTGATGCTCCAACTAACTGAGCCACCTGGCCAGGGTAGGAGACTGTATTTTTTAAGTCTTCTTTTAATCAGTGTGCCATGAAACATGTCCAGATCTTGTCGCTGCATTTATTGGCAGCCTTGAAGGCGACACAGACCCCGACTCACTGGCACATTGGGCTCAGCATGGTCAGAGCTGGCTCCACATGGTGCCACC